GCATCACCTTCCCCGACGAGGTCGACGAGTCCGGCAAGCAACAATCGGGTCGCGTTGTCGTTGTTCGCGTTGGAGACCACAGTGTCGGACTGGAGCCCGTACAAGAGGACCTCCCAGCCTACCAGCGCGACGCATCAGACCGCTTCGACTCGCTCGACCTGGATCGCATGGGCGGACTGAAGGAGAAGGACGACAAATACTACTCATGAATCTCATGACACCAATCTCAACACCCGGCTAGACTGCTGCTACGGAAAGTCTAGCAGCCCGGGCCTCCCAGCCACTTGGCTACGACCGACTACCCTTGATGACGGCTATACCGCGCTGATTGTCAGCTTCTCCGTTCCTGCTGAAGCTGTGGCATAGCCGGCAGGGCACACCATTTATGTATATTCTCGGAGTTGACTGGCCATTTTGCTGTATACCCCTGATGATTGGCCATCTCTTCAACGAGGTTTCTACACCTCTTACATAACTCTTATTCACTAATGTATGATATACAACTCACTCTCTAGCGACTGCGCAGAGCAGCATGAGAGCCAATACAATCCTTTGTCAAGACATACAAAACGCGTGCATTTGATCGTGATGTAAGACGGACGCGAATGCACCAGCGCATGCAGGGTCTTTGGGTATTCTGGTACGAACGGGGAACATGCAGGCATGATGTCAAGGCTCGTATTACAAGTCCCAAGCACAGCTAGCGACGGGCGCGAGGCGCGTACCTCGATGGCGGATGCATGACATCGGAGGCTCGGCGAAATGGGTGATCCACTTGTGGATGCTTGCGACACATCCTCACTTTTGTAAACACCGCACCAACTTTCTCCCCATGGATCCTGTCGCTCCTTGAGGCCTCTTCAGCCATTTGAATCCCATTGAATCTCCATTTGGCATTTGCTAAGCGCCAATTGGCCACCCCTCTCTGTCCGTCATGGAGAACGGCGAGGTCTTCACGCCTCTGTCCGACATCACCGCCGGCCGGAGCACCGCGCCCAAAGTTCAGAAGCCGGCGCAACAGCCACAACAGCAGCAGCCGTCGCAAGGTCAGCGGACAGCTGTACACGATCCTGATAAGGCGAAGAGGCTTGGACAGGTGCACTTCAAGGCTGCTCATGGTATCATTGTCGCTTTCTTTACCTTCATACTGTAGGTTTCTCCATCGCAGCCCTCTCCCGGCTTTCCCCTCAAGACATGCATCGCTAACCGCTACCAGAATACTTCACATCCTCGGTATCTACCTCTTCACGAGCGGCTTCCTTCTCACGCGATTGGTACTCGACCACAAGTCAGAGTGCGCCGTTCCCCCAATCGACTCTGCGAACGCGTACACACCGGGCGAGGCGGAAAAGGGGTGCTGGCACCCGAAGACATTCAACAAAGCAGTTGTCATTATTGTTGACGCGCTGCGATACGACTTCACTGTGCCCTTCCCCGAACAATTCGAACCTGTCGATCTCGCTGTCGAAGCCGAGAACCCGTCCCAAGCCCCTCCAATCGCTCCGCGCCATTTCCACAATGCTTTCCCCGTGCTTTACGAGACGGCGAGGAACCAGCCTCAGAACGCGTTCCTCTTGCCCTTCATTGCTGACCCGCCGACGGCCACGATGCAGAGGTTGAAGGGGCTCACAACGGGTACGTTGCCCACCTTCATCGATGTGGGCAGCAACTTTGCGGGCCAGGAGATTCTTGAGGATAACTTGGTTGGTCAATTGAAGAATGCGGGCAAGAGGATGGTTCACCTCGGTGACGACACATGGCACGCCCTTTTCCCGGACTACTTCGAGCCGAACCTCACGCACGCGTACGATTCGTTCAACGTCTGGGACCTACACACTGTCGACTATGGCGTGAGTGAGCACATTTTCCCACTTTTGCAGGCTGAAAATGCCGACAAGTGGGATGTCATATTTGGCCACTATCTGGGCGTGGACCATGCTGGACACCGTTACGGACCCGATCACCCTGCCATGGCCGCGAAGTTGAGCGAGATGGACAAGGTCTTCCAGCGCATGATTAGGTCCATCGATGACGACACTCTGTTAGTTGTTATGGGAGATCACGGTATGGACGCGAAGGGTGACCATGGAGGAGAGTCAGATGATGAGATCCAGGCGGCGCTGTGGATGTACTCGAAGAAGGGTGTATTCGGGCGCAGCAACCCTGCCTATGTCGCGCCTCCAGCCAACGCAAAGACCCGGCCAGTGGGACAGATCGATCTAGTCCCGACTCTCTCGCTTCTTCTAGGCATGCCCATACCCTTCAACAATCTCGGAAAACCCATCGAAGAAGCTTTCATTGGCAAGGACGGCGCTGACTATAAGAACCTGGCTACTGTCAACCGACTGACAGCGGCGCAAATTCACAACTACCAGCATGAGTATGCCAAAGTTCGTGGTATTGCTGATAGCGCAAGGGCTTCCTCGCTTGCCCTCTGGAAGAACGCAAATGACGCGTGGAACTCGCTCGGAAAGTCCAAGGCCAACAGTGACGAGATGCGCCAGGCGTACGAAGCTTTCGGTGCCTACCAGCGCGATACGCTCCGCATCTGCCGCGACCTTTGGGCTCGATTCGACGTTCCTAGAATGGTCAGTGGTGTCACAGTCTTGGCCGCCATTCTGATAGTAGTTGCCCTCTACGCTAGGATTCTGCATGGAGATCGTGCCGACGTCACTCCCGTCTTCTTCACCCGAGGCGCCATCGGTCTGGTCCTCGGAGGTATCGTTGGTGTTGGCTTTACTATCTTCATGCCAGTGGACGCCAAGTCGCACGTCCTTGTCCTCTCCTCTGCTCTCACTGGAATCGTCGGCTGCGCTTCTACTTTCTACTCGCTGAGTTACCGCCTCATGCCTCCGATGCCAAACAGCATCTGGGGATGGACGAGTGTCATCTTCACACTTGCGCTCTCTGGCGGCTTTGCAGCCAACTCATTCACCATCTGGGAGGACGAGATTCTCCTGTACTTCCTGACCACCTTTGGTGTTCTTGCGCTTATCTCATCTTTCCGCCGAAAGAGTATTTCAGACCGGACTCTGGGCGCTTACCACTCCATCTTGTTCACCATCTTGCTCAGGGTTGCGAGCTTCTCGAGACTGTGCAGAGAAGAGCAGATGCCATACTGCAAGTCCACATACTACGGATCCGCTCTGTCCACTACATCAGCACCGTGGCAACTCGCCATTCCCGTAGCCGCCGCCATCCTCATCCCCACGTTCATCAAGAGCTACTACGACGGCACCAAGAGCTACCAGCACTACGCGACCCTTTGGATAGGTCTCGCACTGCGCTTCGGCCTAATGATGTCCGCCGCATACTGGGCGCTCGACGCTGCCGACGACGGCGAATGGGCCCCAGGCTGGGAAAACATCATCCGCATCACCAAGCGCTTCCTCGCCCAGATCGTGCTCGCCATCAGCATGGCTTTCGGCTACTCAATCTACAACTGGTCCAAGCCCCTCCTCAACGTCATCATCAACAAAGACGGCGGGGTCGACGAAAACGGCGCCCCCAAGGAAGAAGTCATCATCCACGGTTTCGCAAACGTCCACGGCTCGCGCTACGCCCTCCTCATCACAATCTGGTACCTCGCCGTCGCCGTCCTGCAGAAACCCATGGGCGCAGGTGCCATCGGCATCTTAGTCTGGCAACTCTTCTCCCTCTTCGAAATCATCGACACAAACAACCTGCGTCAATCCGCCATCGGCCCCGTTGTCCTCGGTCTCCTCGGCTCCTTCCACTTCTTCAAAACAGGCCACCAAGCCACCCTCTCCTCCATCCAATGGGAATCAGCATTCATCCCCCTGACCAAGATACGTTACCCATGGACCCCCATCATCGTTATCCTCAACACGTTCGGCGCACAGATTCTGTGTGCTATTGCGGTACCGGCGTGTGTGCTTTGGAAGGTTAAGCCTCAGAAGAAGGGCCTGCTTAGTGTGGTTACGAAGGCGGTGGCTACGCATGTTTTGTTTTATGCGACTGTTAATCTGGCGACGACTATGTGGGCGGGGCATTTGAGGAGGCATCTTATGCTTTATAGGATTTTTTGTCCTAGGTTTATGGTTGGGGCTGTGGTGCTGCTGGTTGTGGATGTGGTGTTGATTGTTATTGCGCTGTGGGGGACTAGGATGAGTATGTTGAGTACGGCGGAGGTGTTTGGGTTTGGGGGGTAGATGGGTGAGTGGGAAAGAGGTGGGGATTGGGGGGAGGAGAAGTGGTGGTTAAATCGCGTTTGCATATATTGGCGCGGGCTCAGTTGTTGTATTAGCATCGCTTGCAGCCTCTTTATTCTTTTCCTTGTGTTCAATGTAAGAAGCTCATGGAAAGTATCACATGTGCGACTTCCTTACTCGTTCCTTTCTCACACCGTCTCGTTTTCCCATTATCCTGGTTATCTCCGTTCGCTCGTGCTCCTTCCGGATTCAAACGCGCCAGACTGATCCAGATTGGCCCCGTGCCATACCGCTCTCTTACCTCTTACCTTTTACTATCCTCTCGCGGTTCTCCCGCCAATATATTGCGAGCGCATTACGTCATGCTGCGCATCGACAACGCGAGGTAAAGGTAAAGGCAGCCGCCTCAATCCCCGCTGTCGTCGTCTATATCAACGTCTCAGCCTGGACCTCCATATCTCCTGCACCACACTCGGACAGTACTCAAAAGTAAGCCTTATTGCACAATCGTCAACGATATAAGTCATGGAGTAACCCTCCTCACGATATATCGATTCAGCAGGAAAGTCGGCCACGTTTAGGCGGAGAAGTGATTTCGAACGAGAGCAAAGGCAACTACGACGTAATTGTGCGCTCGACGAGGCTGCGCATCAAAGCGGTGAGTCTTTCCTTCTCGATACACTTTGAGAGATATGTATACTTACTGGCTGCGCAGGCCATTGCTCAGACGACGACACTCTCAGCATTGAGCATTACTCTTAACGATAACTCACCTTATCTCGAACCTACGTCTCACTTCAACGGAAGGACATCCATTACCCCGGTAATATGGCTCTACAACAGCAGCAATCAGCGAGCGTAGCGCCTCGGAATGAAGCTTGCGAAGAAAGTCCCTATGGCATCTTCGTCGAGGAAGACTTCATCGATGACTCGACCGGCATCGTACCAACTAAAGGACTAGGTATACCGTTAAGCCTCAAGGACCGCTTCCTAAGGCGCCTGTCGAAGATGCTAGGCACCGCAGCGAACATACGAGAGATACACACCGGCAACGCTATGGACATCTTCTTGACAAGAGACAAACAGTCGCCCCGGCCAAGCGTTGCGCTCGATGAAGGACTACGAGAATTTGTGCGCGAGCTCGAAGATGGGCTGGCCGCTGTTGCGATGCATCCGTCTGGTATGCTATACCTTGCCGCAAGCGTTCATTGCTAACATCTGTAGGACCGCGACTCGATCACGCATGCTCAGAACTATGGGATGTCATCCTTCTTTTCAACTATAACAGAGTCGAACAAGTCATACGAAGTATACAAAAGACTTTCGACGAGAACCGGAATACGTTTGAAGAGCTCGTTACGAGAATGTTCGGCATCGACGATATGGACAAAAAAGGCTCACTGTTGGATCGAGATCTCGGCGATAAGATCATCAGGCTATCTCATGACGTCCATGCGTTCGATGGCTCAATGAAGGAGTTGAATCAGCTCGTTCAGTTTGCATCGACTATGACGAGGGTACTTCTCAACCTACGAGATCGAATGAGGTACATCCTCGAGAGGACTTACTTCGCCAACAAGCTGTTCGATCTCATCTGCAGCCTCGGCTTCCCAGAGCGTGTCTACAGCACCTTGATTCGGGCTGCTAGGTCGTCGCAGACATTCAGGAACGTCACATTCCACCTGAGGCCCAGCTCACCGGCAAAGAACGTATCTTTCGCGACTCCAATGGCGAGTGCGACGCCACCAAACACCATTAAGCCGTCCTCGCCACCTAAGAAAGAGAAGTCGAAGCGGATGCAGCAGTACGAAGCGACAGCGATCGAAACGGCAATTGCAGGTCCTATCATACCCTCTCTTCCCCTTCCTCTTCCCTCTCCTCCTCCTCAGCCAGCCCCCACCAGCCTCGGTTCGCTGATGTCCGCGGTGCAGCCTTACCTCAATCAAAAGGATCGAGACCTTGCACTCCATTGCCTGCAGCCCGCAACCAAGCGTGAGACAGCGCAACTCGTCGGCACCGTCCTCAGAGAGAGGCTGCTACAGATGGAGACAGCCGCATGGTTCAGTTTCGGCTTCGTGACCGCCAAGGATGAAGAGCAAGAAAGGCAGCTAGCAGGGCTGTACGTCGCAATATTGAAGGAGGCCGAAGATCCCGAAGCCGCATTCCGCGAACTGCAGGCTGCCTTGGAAACAAATTCCATCGTCGAACTGTTCGATCAGTACGAATACAGCCATTTTCGCGACCTCTTTCCCTACCTCAAAGCCTTCCTCACTACACCACCACGCAAGCGCTCCACCGTATGGCGTCTGCGGCAGTTCATTCAAGACCCCACCGATGACGAACCTCCTGCATGTCTCCAGCGCGACTATGGATTCAAGTACTGTCGCCAACGCGAAGAGGTCCTCCGGCTCAAGGAAATCTACATCAAGATACTGAAGAAGCTGGGCCCGCAAAAGCTGGACATTGCGTGTGTCAACGGTCGATTGTCCGAGACGGCGATGAAAGAGGGCGTTTATGTTGATCAGAAGGACAAGCGGTTCCTGAAAAATGACTATGGTTCCCCGTTCCTGGGACTGGACTGTGAGGGTGGGCTTCAGAACTACCGCGGCCCGTTCTACAGGAAGCCGTTGAAGCTTTAGGTGAATGTGGGAATGAGCATGGTGTGTATGACGCGCACGGCGACGAGCCCTGAACATCCGCTTGACGAGCTCTTGGAGAAGGACGTGAAGCGACGACTAGGCTTTTGGCATCCCTGCGATGAAGGCTGGATGATGTGTGCATGCTATTCGGGCGATGGGTTTTGGTGTGGATCTTGCTTTCGGGGTTCTGCGGGATTGCTTGCGATCATTTCACGGAACTGGTGGCCAGCAAAAGGCGTTGCGATATACCCATGAGTTCTGGTGCTAGGGAAGGCGGCTGCGTGGACATGACTGGACCGATTGACTTTTTGATGTTCTTTACTCTTGACGTTTCCAAAAGTTGGGTTTTGCGTGCGAAAATGGGTATCTAGGACTTCTTTCAGCACCAAATGTGCAGCGGCTGAGGCATGCAATCTACTCATTTTGAAACATACCTTCTCTTGGTCAACTCCCAATATCTCCGTGGCGTGTTAATGGACTGGCCATGCTTTCCCGCGTCCTTGTTATTTGAGACCTGGACTTGCTCGCTCATCCTCACCCTCTCCGTCGAGAAAATCATGCACGTGACATTACCGCCCGTGGACGCATATATAAACCCCCCTCCGCACCATATCTTCTTCTTCATCACACACCTACTTTCCGGGTCTCTTCTCAAAAACGCAATGCGCTTCGGCCATGTGGTGCTTTCTCCAAAAAAAAACCAACTTCATTCGAAATGTCTGTCCCTCGGTCTTCCTCCTCTTTCTAAAATACTCTTTGGGTGCTCGCATGTGCAGAGCAGAGGTCTTCTCCTCTGAGTCTTTCCGACGCCGGTAACCAAAAAATAACGCTCAAAGACGCCATGTTGTCGAAAACACACAAAAAGGTCAAAATGAGTGTGGATGTTGCGAAACCCAAAATGGAGAGCAAGGCTACCGATGTGCTCGCTTGCTTTCCTTAGGCACATTATCTACGTCGACTTCACGACGGGTCTTGTCATCTTGCATCCTTCTTTTCCTGGGTCATGTTCCAAAATTCATCAAAGAAGACGCCATGATCTGTTGGCCTGGTCGACCAAAAAAATGAATTCGACGAGACATGCTGCGCACTTTCTTCTCTTGTTGAACCAAAACTTAATGGAATGGCTTAAATGTCGGTGTTTGAAAGCTTTCCGAAGCCCTTATATGTCGTGCGGACTTGCCCGCGCGTTGATGTTATACTACCTCCAAAACGCTTTTACAGGATGATGATGTGCGCTCCACCGTCTGCGCTAGCTCCATGGTCGAGACTAGTGTTGATGATGGGTATAAAGCTTCGATCGAGGTCGTGGGAAGTTTGTTGTCGCACACTCTTCTTCCTTTATTGTCTCAAAAAATCACGGCACAGGTTCATGTGTCGATCATAAAAGTGGAACTGTAGACCGCATGGTGTGCGCTCGCTCTGGCTTCTAGGTCTTACACCAAAATCACAAGAAATGTGAGCCATGGCGTTCTGGAAAATTTTGGTCGGAGTTGACATGTGTGCGTCCGTGGAGATGGGGCTGTACTTCCAATATCAAAAGCACAAACGAAAAAGCGCATGTCCTGCGCGTCCCGCCTGCGCTGCATCAAAGCGGCGCTCGAGTATAGAACCCGTCATCTTTTACGCGTTCTCCACCTTCTATATCATCTCGCAGCTGCGAGTGACCGAAACCACTGGCTCACGAAGTGATGCCTTCGTTCCAAATTCCACTGAGAAACTTTACATGTTCCTGCGCACTCGCGTGTAATCTTCGTCATTACCAAAAACGCGCTTCATCGTCTGCATGACGCTATCAGCGTGTTTCGAAAATGGGTGACAGACGCGTCATGTCTAAGAACCATCAAAATCCGAATATATGGGTTGGCGCTGGTTGTGGTGGTGTTCGCGTTGGGTACGCGTGCCGATGATGATGATCGGCATCATGGTGGCGTAATGAGGTGTAGCCATGACCATACCCCAGTCTGAGTCAAAGACGCACTCTGTATATCGATATGAATGAGGTTGGGGAATGTGGAACGTGGCTGTGGAATGAGGTTACGGAATGAAGTCGCGGAATGAGGTTGTGACATCGTGATGGCATCACCGAGGTTGATGACGTAAGCTTCTAGCGTGGTATCGACGCGTCACGTCTCCGACCACCATCGTGGTGCTCTTTCCTTCATCATCGCGTGTGTTGTTCGCCGTTGCGTGGATCGTACTGCTCGGTGGTATCGTTTCCAACATACTAGTTTAGTATTGCGTATCGATGGTCTTTGCGCAGGCCGCCTTTCCTTCTACTCTTCACCCACCATCCATGCGCTCGGCGCCATCGTCGCCACATCAGTCCCAGCGCATGAACACCCATGTATCGTTTTTTTGTATTTTCATATTTTCGTCTAGCTATATACACGTCCGCATTCTCAAGTCCCAGTATTAACCCTCCGATATTATAAACACACTCGCTACAGAAAGACCCGCACTCACAACCATCGCAAACCACCGACCCGATACCGAAACGCCCACGCTACAGACACGCACCGATAAACAAGGCCTTTCCAGAAAGCCTGTCCGATACACCGACTGCAATGAGCAAAGAAAAGAGAACGGACGACCGTGTCCGTCCGTAAACCGTTGTTCCGTAAACAAAGAAGCAGTCGAATCTCGAAACATTATGCCAGAGACAACGCCCACGCAAAGAAAGAACAACACCGCTGGCAATCCCCTCATGCCATCTCCGATTCCACGTACTGTGTACCATGCATCTTAACCTTAGGTACCGCGTCCCCTCCCGCGTCCCCTCCCTCTAGAATTTCCGCCTCTACCTCTACTTACAGGATTAGGATGGGCGGATCCTTGGCCGTAGCCTCGTCCACCACCCGCTGCAGGTGCCATAGTATGTTGTGGTGTACTGGTGGGTGCTGGGGGAATACCTTGGTGTCTACCACCCGCTACAGGTGTTATAGTATGTTGTGGTGTGTCGGTGGGTGCTGGTGGAATACCTCGGTATCCGCTGGGGGGTGCTGGTGCATTAACTCGTGGTGTACGTGAACTATCATGATGAGGGACTGTAGAATGTGGCGGATATGGCTGTGGCAGGGGAGATCCAGTTTGTAGAGCACTATTGGCTACTCTTGAGTTAAGTGCGCTCCACGAGCTGAAAGAGGCACTACTCTGGCCGCTTGCGGGTGTTTTTCCCCACGCTTTTGCGGTTCCGGACCACTTCGATGATGGGTTCACCGAATTTTCATTGTGAGTATAATGCTGAGGTTGATTTTCAGGATCATCGAGAATTTTCGCCAGTTCGGCGACAGGGTCCCAAGGGCTTTCCTGGCGACTGGCCCTACCAGAAGTACCTTGAGGTGGCGGTTGTGTAGAATACCCTACATGTTGATTCCCAAGCTGTTGTGTTGACGATGCTTGTCTTGTTTGTAGAGTACCTGATTGTGTAGCCCCGACACCGCCCGTAGTACCTTGCATGACGCTGCGCACTACATCTGGATTCATCTCGCTTAGTAGATCTCCATTGGTGAAAAGGCGGGCAGATGCTGGGGTTGGATAAATATAGGCACCACGCTCCTTCCCTCTAGAGCTAGCGACTCCTGGAATGTAGAGATCTCCAGGGGGTGGCCCTTGCCAAACCGCGTGGCAAGTTTTCGTGAGCATGGTGTGAAGTTCGGCTTCCGTATTTCTTTTCGCTCGGATACCATTTACACGGGCTAAATCGAACTTGAGTCTCCAAAGGGCGACCCAAAAGGTTGCGAAATGTCGAATAAAGTCCATTCTCACCTGTCCCACTATCCAAGGATTTGCAGCAACGATTTCCCCAGCCCGTTCTTCTCCGTTTTTAGTTTCTCTCCTTATATCGCTTGGATAGGGTTCGCCGGCGCGGTTGGTCGACATAGTGATTAACTAGGTATACGTTGGGATATCTTTGTGTTCAAGTGTCTGAGTGTTCGAGTGTGCGAGTGTTCAATTAGTTCGAGAGTATATAAGTAAGCTACTGACTAGCAGTAGATTGTTGGAGCTTTAATACAACGTTGGAATGGTGGAAGTAGTAGTTGTAGTTATTGTTGGTGGTCTGCAGAAGGAAAAGTACAGCACGTCTAACTATTTATATCTAGCAGTGACAAACGCCCTCGGCCTTCATGAATCGTATGTGACTCTATCTTGGTGACTTTCTCCTCTTGACTTCTTGTATGTGACTCTCGATATTTGACTCATTACGTGACAATACCAGAGTTCAAGAAAAGCTACTCGAACAATGGCTATTGTCTGTGACGCGATTGATCGCTGTCGAAAGCCGTGCAATTCACGTCATGCTATTGAGAGACTAGTATACCCGCTTGTTAGGCACAAACAAGCGATGCGCAGGCCTTCATGCCGTTCGGGCGTATGAACCACAGCTCACATGAAGATCTAAATATTGAAATACTCGCAAACAAAAGTCTCGAAGCAGTGTGCGTATGCAGAACCCGCGCTATATGTGCGTAAATTTAGAGCATTGGGAAGACATGCGCGACTTCCCTAGGATGTGCGACAAGTTTCGATCGAGAGCTAAGAACAGCTACGCAACACAAACATCGAAGAGGGCGAATCGGGATCGATATTAAAAAGATATGTAGAATGTTGTAGATTACGGTACATGCCAAGAATCAGTAATGACTAGCCAGCTACCTATGCCGCTCCGCAATGTCCATTGCAAAGCCGCTTGTCTTGTATAAACCCATGAAACACCGCTGCATATCCGACTGTACATATAACACCGCTGAAGAACTTCAAGAATACACAACGCTTAACTATCATGTGTACATCGACTAAAACCCTGGCTCTGAGACTTTTCATGCAAGCCGGCCATGCACCTTTATCACTCTCATAACCTCCGTCCTTTGCCTTTACCGGTGTAGCCTTGTTGTTGGCCACTGCCCGTTGATGCTGGATTTGGGGTGTTCCTCGATGATGTAGGTGCAAGAGGACTTGATGGAACACTAGTTGTTCTATTCTGTGTGACACCAAGATTGCTC